CTTAGAATCCCACAAAATCTGCCTTTTATTTCAACATGTTTTAAAAAGAACGTTGTTCTGCTACGTTATGCATTAGTCCTACTCCGAAATCTAGTTCGCAGCACCCGTATCTTAAGAAACGAAGGCTAAAAATCTGGTAGCCCGATTCTGTGTAAGAGATCACAAACAGTGTGCGCAAATTACATTCCAATGTATCCAATATATGTGAAGATCTCAAACGAGGAAATTCACTGAGTGGCATAAGGGATGCATGTTAAAAGCGTTTATCGGTAACTTGATTATAAGAATTATGGCAGTAGAACGAACCCACCGTTTAGCGATCCACATTTAATTAGCAACGAAGGTCGTCAATTACACCTGACTGCATAAACCTTCAACATTGTTCGTAAAATGAGTTTGGTCTACATATAGGGGTTTCCCATTCAAATTGTATTAAAAACTTGGCCAAGAAGTGCAGTAGCACACATTTAAATTACAATTGTACAAACAAAGAAAAAAAATGACACTTACCCCAGGCATAATAATGAACTGACAGAGGAATCCAATAATTGGTCCTACCGGCTTTTTGAAATACGACTTGATAATGTCGATATCAATCTCACAGCCCATAAGGAAAGTTAGCAGGATCAGCAGGAGTATCAAGCCGATACGGAAGACCAAGTCAACTATTCCGTCTTCTCGAAGTACCACCATCCTTATACCGACAGCCAGGTGTTCCGTCGAGGCCAACTCGGCGCTGACAAGGATGTAGGATTCCCCGATTTGCGATATCACAACGGGGATGGTTATGTTGTCACTCGACTGAGTTGGGGAAATAGGAAACGCAAGTACAAATGGACGAGCCATTTTAACTGACGGTGGATAGTCCGACTCAAAAGCAAACTTGATCTCGCCGACTGAGGTATATGAAAGACTGCATGTTAGGTTAAAATCCCCAACATTTTCGATAAATTGAAGGTCTTTGGGGGAACAATAGAGGGATATGGAAAAACTTCCGTTTGGATCATTAAAAGCGGTAATGTAAGCAGTTTCATTGACAGTTGTGCGTTCTTTTAGACTCTTCCTGATTTCCAAGTAGTGCGGATTGATTGGAAGGCCACCTATTGTTTCTTGGGCAGATACAGCGTAGAAGAGGGCGAAATAAAGTAAAACGCGTAGCCATTCTGAGCATAGTGACGATGGCATACGGATTAAACAGTAAATTATGCAAACGTAAGACGGGAACTCACGTTGAGAGCAACATGACTGTCTTATACCAGCAGCCAGTTTAACAGTTAGCCGAAATAATAGTTTAACCAATAATAGTGAGGATGCAAGGCCATCTACCAACGAGAAGACAGCCAATCAAAGTCAAAATTACACTGGTTGGTTCTTAGCAGCCAATGAAAACCCGGAATGCACATGTTTCATCCGGGGCGCTGCATTCGCGTGTGCGTCGAGTTGATTTATGGCTTCCTTTCTCGCCCCGAACGGAATATTCGATCCGAAGGGTTTCTGCGTGGAGGCTTTCGTATTATCGGATAATATCGAAAACAATTTTATCAACTGATCTCATCCAATGAGGATCAAAGCTTCGCATTGAGTTAATAAACATAAAATGCGTAAATCTGTTTCGCATAAACGATTATTATTTGCGCTGTGAGGACGCACACAGGGGACCAGGTAATAGGTTATGTACAGAGTGTTAACAGAATCATTTTAAATCGATATAACGTCATTGTGCGGAAGATTGTTCTGGAAAGATTAGTGTTGTGTGCAAAATTGTCTTGACCAACATCCAGGACGAGATTTCCGCGTGACTGTGATACAAGTGATGCGACTTCACCGCATACGGCTTGCTCAGGATAACATTGCTCTTTATTACCTGTAGGCATCACCCTAGTTGACTTTAGTTTTCATTTTTATGTACCATGTGTTTTTGCGATTTTTCCTTTTTTGTCTATGAAGTCAACAAATCTGAATTCACTCAGCACAAATTATCTTCTTCTCTATATTTGTTTTCCTTGACGTAAAGATGAAGGATAAAATGGCCCAAATAGGTCTTCTCTTCGTCCTCTGGTTGAAATTCAAACCAGAAATATCATGGTTCGGCTCCACACTGCTTTTGACAACTCCTTGTCTATGGTTCGGGTTGTTGCGTTACCTGAGACTGGTAATGTTTTAGCATTAAGGAATCTTAGATTCAATCTTTGGAATGAACCAGGTGATGTCGAAGCAGTCTCGTGAGTCATTCACAAATCCGCTTCTCGTGATTCTAAGGAATAGGTTTGTTTTGTTTACACCGAAGCCCATGTCCGTCTCGTCCAGTCCTGATGCCGACTATTTACACGAGTGCACAGTCAGTGCTGCCTAGTTCCGTCTTTTCTGTCAATGTTAACGCCAAGGTCACCATCTCGAGTGACCTCAACGGCCAGCAAGTTAAAGACGCGCACACCTCGCGCATTCACAGAAAAGTGCTGATTGCCGAGCTTCCCGTGTACTTAAAAAGGGCGACTCAGTTACCCTTTAGGTCGGGTGACGTTGTTAGAGGATTTGTTCCAAACCAGTGCTATATCAGATTGAGGCATTATTTATGCGCACGTCGAAAGCCAGCTCTTTTATTTCACAGTAACTCTGCGGCCTTGTTCACGGCGACTGCCCGGAATGCGCTACCTCCGGGGAATCCACCAAGTTAAAATAAAAAAACCGAAGAAATCAGTTTGAGTGGGTGGGAAATCGTAGAGGCCAAACAGTTCAAGGCCTCGTTAAATGACAGCAAACGGCGCCGAATACGCGACGGTAGACGAGTCGAGCGAGAGAAACTCGATGAGGGTGTTGAGGCCATGTAGGAGTCCCGAGGGGTCGACCACGTCTCCCATTATCGGTCGCCAGTGGGCAAAGTCTACTAACTTCACGGAAACTCGCGATCGGCTCTCGTCGTAAGCGAGCAGGAGGGAGGAGCAGTAGAAGGCGAACGGTGGCACTGGGGGGTCCACAAAGATGGCACGCAGAGCTTCGACCCTAGTGACGAAGACTTGGGCAAGTTGGGGATCGCCCTGGAGGAATGGCATGAGGGCTACAAGGGAAAAAGTGGTCTTGAGGGTCACAACGGCTGCTTAAGTGTCAGACGAAAGTGCAATCTCATCGCAGAACGTGGATGTGCATTTTGAGCAAGAACAGGGCGTCACAGGCCCCGCCAAGTACAGATGCGCTTAGCCGATGAGTTTACGGCTGTGAGAAGGGCACATTCTCTGCCTTAATCTCGCGTCAATGATGATTCTGACGCAAGATTTTAGACTCTAAACTGGTCCACGGAAATACGAATTTAGGAATGGAGTGGCATTTGACAGGCCCCGCCAGCAATTTTGACGTGCCTAGATAGAGGTACTACAAAAGGAGAATGCTTTGATAGAAATCAGCACCTACAACATGGTCGAAAATTTGGATTTTTAAGCATTTTAAGCATTCAAAAATGAGTAACGGCTGTTTAAATTTACGGGAAAAAAGTAGGAGGGCGGGCTAAAGCGAACTACCTGACAACCAGCAATAATAAAGGGCCTTAGTAACTATAACCAAAACTATCGTAACGATCTTACGCGCTATCGGTTGCGGTAGGCACGGTCTAACACCGGTGCCTCAGCGTGGAGAACTACAAAATCGTAAAAAATCCATGTGGTGAGGTACTAACGGTGACAGCGACTGCTCCAGCTTCCAGTGTCTGAAGATACCGGTTCTAAGAACATTCAATCCGCTACGATCTTGCACTCCGCCTTTTCGGAGAGGCGTTTAAATTGCGGACGCAGTTGTTTTTTAAAGACATAAGCTCTTCTGAATTGGTTGGAGTTGAAAACGACCCAAATGAGGTCATTTTGAAAACCCTGTACATTTTTTGCAGCACAGTAATAAGCTATGGCAGCAGCATTCCTACAAGACCAATGGACGACCCTGTCATTTAGGTATTCGTCTACTTGAAAATAAAGCTCTCTGGCAATAAGTTGAATAAGCAGTGCGTCATTCACCATGTACTATTTCTAGACAGCCCAACAATTTACAGGAGTGAGAATTTCGCTTCCCCAGGTCCCAAGAAGCATTCAAACGTTCCAGCAAATTTTAGAGCTGGTAATTGGAGTATCTACGGACTCGGGGACTTCTTAAAGCAAGTCCCTGCCTACGCTTCGGTCGGACAGATTCGAATCGTCACACAAGTGGTCAAAGCATGAGGTCCTGGCCAAGGAGTGGTTGAAAACCGCACCGCCGCTTGGATTTCTACCTGCGTAGTAAACAAGCCCATTCGCGCCATTTACGTCATTCCACGGCTTAGCGACTTCATAAATGATGCGTCGATTTGGTGAGTGCGCGACTAGCAACGGCAGGGAGCGAGAGGTGAGGCTTCAACTGTTGTCACAGCCTAATCGTTTCCGCCGAATGTCCGTTCGGGTTTCGACAAAGTGTCGTAGGTGGGTTGAACCGAAAAGAAGTTACAAGTGGACATGTTCTCGTCCGTGTCTGAAGGTAACACAATCACTACCGTTGTTGCAGACCGCTTCCGGATCGAGGCTTCGTCCGTAGTAGCGTGGAACCGTGAGGTACTGGCGCGTCTCCCGTCGGTAGATCTGGAAAAGAGAGAGAGGGAGTGGTTGTGCCGAGGTGGGAAAACGCAACTACACCCATGCCACTCACACAAAGAGATCAGTAACGCGAAACCAGGGCTAATGACACCAAACTCGACCACAAATTGCGTCCTCTTGCAGTTCGAACGATTTTCTTGAACATTTGCCCACAACTACGGACTGTGACAAAATCTTTTACGCAGTGTTAGCTGAAGATTAGTCAAATAAACTGTTGCGTTGCGACAGAACGGGCCGTAGGCAAGCACAGGCGACTGCCAATCTGCTGATCCTTAAGACCCACGAAGTTCACCCACCTGCAACCTCCTGAGTACACAATCCAAGCTAACGCGGAATGGTACAGTAATCCGCAATAATATGACATCATTTTTCACAACACATGAGGTTGACGTGCTCAAATTACGTCAAATACCAGCCACACACAACCATGCACAATGCGAATTGACCGAATTCGAATAGAAGCCGTTTCTACACAAACGGTAACACGAAGCGACAAACACAGCTTGATTCATTGTAATCGCACCCCAACGTAGTCGCCAGAAGAGGACTGCAGGTTCGAAGTACTCAAGACGCAGCCGAAAAATTAAGGGCTTTTTACAATCGGTGCCAATTTGGCGTTGAGGCAGTTTGACTGTACCGTGTACCACACTAATTAGATTAAAAGTAATGCGGAGACAAGTTCATTCCTCTTCACTTTTGCCAGATTCGTTGAGAGAACCAGCGCAATTAAGAAGCCAAAGGTACAACTTCAAGTGAGCCAAGTTCGAGGACTGCGACAGCATTCACGAAGCCAAGGTGTGACGAGTTCACCTCTAGTTAAAGGAAATTTTAACTAGGCGTAGCTGAATTAATCAATCCTCGCTAGTCGGAGGTGTTCTGCCAGATTTGATTCACACTCCCACTTACTACAAATTAAACCCACTCAATCGACTGCAGCTCCTTCTGTTTCATCTGTACGATAACACGAATGTCTTTTAGTACTTACGGATTCGGTGTGTCTGAGCCATGAGGGATTTGATTAGCAAACAAGCACTGTTTACCGTGACAAAAGGCTTTACAAACTAATCCCGACCCCGCCCCAAACGATTACACCAAATCATGATTTAGCTTATTCACAAGCTCAGAAATGAGGGGGGGGGGGGAAATCGCGAGTTAGTAAACGCACCTTCATGCCCGTGAGCAGGAATCCGACGGCCTCACGGTGGGGGTACTTGGAGTTCTCCTTTTGGATTTTCGCCTCGCCCACATCCGGTGGACACCCAACGCGACCTTGAAATAGCACAAAAATGAAGTGGTTATGAGAAGCAGTATACAATGAGAGACGTAGCCAATGTGGAGGACACTGATGGACGGCGCCGGAAGTACGATTCTGGCTTGTGATTGGTCAATAATGCCTGGTTAAGTTTCCGCAAGTATGCACACGTCAAAGCCGCTGTAGATGGTACTAAGCTGCATTACCATTTGACTCAGGGGTTATTCAGCCAGTGAGGTCCCACTGAAGCTGTCTGCGAGACCTCAGAAGATGGAACTTGACCAGGTCAAATGGGTGCCAACATGTATTAAAGTGTTGGAGACTCAGCATCCCCATGACTACAGTTGTCAAGATTCCTACAATGTATTGATTCACACCATCAACTGTGGTTAATGCACACCATCTTTCATATTCATGTCCCCCTCCTCTTTCCTCCTATTGGTCTATGAACCTTTCAGGGTACAATTTTCAAGGCACCCCGCGCCAAATATAGGCGAATTTGCACAAAACCAGTTGCAAATGGCAAAAACGTGTCTGAACATGCATCAGGGTGATCGTAATTCGTTTGCTGAAGCGTGCCTTGGTCAATTTGGATAAACGAAACACCGGAGAACGCACAAGGAAGCCCGGCATCCTCAACGGGACTGCTTACATTACCCGAAACCGTGTGGTTTATGTACAATTAGCGTGCCTACAACTAGCGACTACCACCTCAAGACGACGTAAATGAAAAAAAACCAGCGACACTACCGGCACCACACACCGCAGTGTTCGTGGCTTTTTACGAAGATATCGTTGCTGCGAACTAGAATTCGGAGCAGGACTAATGCATAACGTAGCAGAACAACGTTCTTTTTAAAACATGTTGAAATAAAAGGCAGATTTTGTGGGATTCTAAGTGTGCAAACACCACGAATGTGAGGAATTGGGTTGAGGGGTGGGAGTGGCATGTGAGGTGGCGCTGGTTTTACCGCCACGACCTCGCTTTTGCAGGTGGCCATAGCCCTGGCCAAACTGACTCCAATCAATCCTGCTTTCGGGTTTGGTCTGTTCGTGAGCGGCTGCTGTCCGGGCGGAGGGGCCTCCAACGCCTGGACCCGACTCCTCGACGGCGACCTCAACTTGAGTCTTTCGATGACGCTCTTCAGTTCCCTGGCTGCTCTCGGTGAGTGTTCTGGTTGAGTTGTTGCTTCAACTCCTGCGCCTTTTCCCTCCGCCCTTCATTCCTCCACTTCTTCCTCCCCTTCCTTCTCCTCCTCCTCCTCCTCTATCGTGTCGTTTTGGCATAGAGTGAAGTTCGTGCCGCGAACCTGAACGCGAGTATGTGGTCTCCGTGTAGCCCCTATTCTCCGCCAATACCCTTGTCAAGACCCCTGGTAGATACGACTTGACCCTGAGTGTTGGTTTGTAGTAATGGTGGCGTAATTAACTTACGACCACTCACTTTGGAAGGCACAAAAAAGCATTTGAAGTGTTC